CCTTGCCCTGCACCGCCTTCCAGTCACTAACAGAACCATTCCGAAAAACGAATCGTTAGTGACGCCCTCCGTGCAGGCCGATTCCGTGGCGGAGGCCTCCCTCTCGCACTCACGGGGCGTCCCGTGCGGCTGCGAGAGAGACACACCGACGGGGGGGCTCCCGCTCGGAATCGCCCCCTTGACCGCCCTGCACGTCTCGCTGGAGGACGGGGTGCGCCCCGCCCCGCCCCGCCCCGCCACCCTACCACGCCCCGCCACGCTGCCACGCTTGCCGGCCAGCTAGCTGGACTCACCCCGATGCGTTTTGTTGCAGGGAACGCGGCGAGGAGAAGCACGCGCCGCTCCCAGCAGCTCCGGCGCACGCGGTGAAGAAACGAAGTGACGAGACGAGTGACGAAGTGACGTGACAAGGGACAAAGTGACGTGGCAAGTGACGAAATGACGTGACAAGTGACGAAGAAGGAACGATGTGACAACAATAAGGTGTGACGAAGAGACAATTTGACGAAGAGACAATTTGACGAAGAGACGGTGTGACGAAGAGACAATTTGACGAAGAGACGGTGTGACGAAGAGACAATTTGACGAAGAGACGGTGAGACAAAAAGACGGCATGCGACAAAGAGATGACGAGACAAAAACATGTGACGAAGAGATGATGGGACGAAAAGACGACATGTGACAAGGAGACGACTTGACAAAAACATGTGACGAAGAGACGATATGACAGAACGGCTGCATGCGACAAAGAGGTGGTGTGACTAAAAAAATGTGACGAAGAGATGTGACGAAAAGACGGAGAGTGACGTCGGCGTGTAACGAAGGAACAGTCTGTAGCGAAGGAGCGTTGTGTGAGACGAAGATACGGACATCAATAAAGACAAAGTGACGTGCCAATGTGTCGAAAACGGCGGTCGGACGAACTAACGGATGGAGTGACTGATACAGGCGGTGTGACTGGAAGGCAACCGATGAGACGAAGCAACGATACGATGGGCACGGCGAGGCGCGGAAGCGACAAAATGACACGGTGGGTGATATGATGCCGTGACGGAGTGACGAAAGAGCGACGTGACGATGAAACGTTCGCATCGCGACGGAATGACAATCGAGAATACAATAGACAAAAGACAACGGTGGACGAAGAACGTGACAGTGAAACATTTGAAAATGTCGGCTGTCCGTGAAAAGACATGAAAATCGACCGTGAAAATCGGAACAAAAGACGAAAAACCCACACACGCGAAGATATTCTACGACGAGGATGCTTGCACGGAGAGCTTTGCAGCGCAAGGACCTAATCAAAATTATTGGTTGCCATATGCGGAGGTGCTTATTGTTGTTGGACAAGAATAGGACCACGTGATTTCCACGACGCTGTGATGTGATCGATGCTGATGACTGCAATCAGCATCACGCTTTCTGTCGTGCTGTTACGATGTCGAATTCGCTCGGGACAGTGATTTAGTAACCACGGTGAACGCCAATTAAATTCTACTTTGTACCTGATTTTGGCGTTTTTCCTATTCAGCGGTGTTGAGAAACTACTAAAAAGTTTCCGACCAGAAGCACTGACGATTGCTCAATTAATTTTTCGCGCTCGCTCAAGTGAAGAGAAGTCGCAGCGATGCACTTCTGGACTGACTAGGTATGTAGGTTTAAGTGGTGGTGGTAAATGTATTTTTCGTTTTTCTTATCGGGCTTTAAAATGCCTTCTAAGCTGGAGTAAGTTACCACTGGACTTCTGTAATGGCAGGACTTACAAGCGCCATATATTTGATGTCTGAAACCGTTCACGAGATAGTCCAATGTAATGTAGGATTTTTTTTTACCATTTTCTTCTCTGCTTTGCATAATTTTAATGTCGGACCACCTTTGTAGTAGTGGACCACCGACAACGCACAAAAAGTACATTTCGTCTGTGATTTGTTTTCGAGTTTGTTTTCTTTTGCTGCCTTTTGCTTATTATAAGTCCTTTTGATTTTGTTTAGTAGTGTATCGTCAAAGCAGCAGCCGCCTCAATGCAACACAAGGATGCATGCATGAGGCGTACTCCTCGCTCTGAAATAAATTTAGAAAACAAGAGTTCATTCTGTCGTCATTTTCTTTTTTTTTTCTTAACAGTCGCCATTAATTGTTTCTGTTGCACTGTGTTGGCTACACTGTACACGCGGTTCGAAGTCGTTGCCTACCGCATCCACGGCTCGCGTTTATGAAGGCGGCAGTGAACACAATCCGTATTTCCGCTGCTAATTGAACGCGTCCTAGAGGTGGCCGACGCGTGCAAGCGTGGCACCGTAGCACGCAACGCGGGCGGCTCCAGGCTTCGCTGTGAGTCTGAGAGAGACAGAGAGTGTATCATCTTTGCAGCTCACTTTGTTGTGCGTGGCGCTGCCGCGTTTTAACTTTAAGTCTCATTCAAATCCATCCTCAAGACAATGAGTGTGAGAGAGAAAAAATAATTAAGTCTGCTCGAAGGATGACCGGCGCGCGCTTCGCGTCGGGATGCTGCGCTCCGGAAACTCAAAACTGCCGGCATCCCGTCGAGCGTCTCGCTGTGCGAACTGCGAATAGTCTTTCCGAGTTCATAAATAATTGAACACTGCGAATAAGCGCGTTATTCGCAGTGTTCACACGGTCCGGTCTGTCCGGCGCGAACTGCCGGCATCCCGTCGAAGGTGCGTCTCGCTGCAAACTGCGAATAGCCTTTCCGAGTTGATAAATGGTTGATTATTGAACACTGCGAATAAGCGGGTTATCCGCAGTTCGCACGACCCTGCCGGTCCGGCGCGATGCGCGCGCGTCGCCATTACACTACTTCGCCGAGTGCTCGCCGATGCCGCCGCCGTGGCCCCTCAAAGCAGGTCAAGGCATCGCAAACTTTTTCCTCGGGCTTTTAATTTCGCTTTAATCAGTTTGGAGAGAGAGACAGAGAGACGGCGCCGGGCTCGGCCAGGGTGAGTCCTGGCGGGACGCTGCTTTATCTCGGAGCGCGAGAGGACCCGAGAGAACCCGTCAACGCGGTGGCATTTCAAAAACAAAAAACAATAAAATAAAACAACGGCGCTTGAGCGAAAATAGGAGACAAATCAACACTGGAATGAAGTATCTGTTGAGCGGCCATCACGGTGTCATCCGACTGAAAAAAAAAACGTAAAAAAAAGTGTAGGGTTATGATTTACCAGTGAGTGGGACTATGCTTTTAGCCTTCTCACATGCATTGCCTACTTGCAGGCGATGTTCAGGCCATGGGCTCGAGGTGTGAAATATATGTAACCGCAAAGTGGAGAGGTGGACCCCTTGGTGTGCATCGTTTCTCCGGAAATTCTCCAGGGCTGTTCTCCCCGCACCCTCGTGTTGTACGACGAGGATATAGCTTGTCGCCACCAACCTGTCTGACTACCCTGATAAATGTCCCGCCCGGGGCTGGCTGGGGCTGGCTGGGGCTGCAGACTGATTCCGAGAGTCGTTCTCGTCGCTCTGCCTTTCTCACACTCCCGTGGCGCCCCGTATAGGTGCGAGAGAGACAGCGACGAAAGCGACTCTCGGAATCGGTCTGCTGGCTGGCTGGGCCTGGCTGCTCTGGTTGGCTCCGAGAGACCGGGCCTGAGTTTCCCCCTGCTGTGACCATGTTGTCAAAGTTCCGCTGACTGATGCTGCAGAGGGTTGTATGGCCGTGCCGTGCGCGCTACCAGTGTACCGCCGCCCCGTCCGGGCCGGTCCGGCCCCGGCCCTCCACGATCCATCCCGCCACTGCCAAAACTCCAGTGTCGACGCCATCATCTCCGCGATCACCGAAAGTGCCCCCGCGGGGGTCACCGAATTCCAGCCGAGCGGTTCGACGTGCTCTGCCTCTCTCGCGCCCCGCGGGACGCCCCATGAGTGCGACGGAGACAGAGCGACGAAGACTCTTGGAATGAGCGCGCAGGCCATCGGCAGCGCGTCAAGTTCCTGGGCAGGCCTCACAATGGGCCAGAAGACCGGCGCAGGCAGCCAAAATTCTAGATGCGTTTTGAGCTCGAGAGTCGCTAAATGTGACTCGAACTGAACGTGTGACCCCACCAATGGATTCCTCGTTCGGAGAGCAATCCATTGGTGGGGTCACACGTTCGGTTCGAGTCCCATTTAGCGACTCTGGAGCTCGAAACACGACTAGAGTTTTGGCCGCCTGCGCCAGTCTGCGCGCCTTCCCCGGACTTGCGGGACTCGATGTTTACCGCCTGGGCCCCGGGCCTGTCCTAGCCCGTCCTAGACCATCCTAGACCCGTCCTAGGCCGTCCTAGACCCGTCCCGGACGACAGTTCGGCCGGATTGGGATGCCCGGCTATCAACCGCGCTCTCCAGCCGGCGCTCCAGCCAAGGTCACCTCCAGGACAATTAAGTGGGGCCGCGCGTGTCCGACGCCACCTAGCTCCACCTCGCTAGCGCAGCGCCACCTGGCGGACAACGCCCGAGGTGCACACCGGAGCGGTCAGTTCCGGGCGGTCGCTCTGTCTCCCTCGCACCGCTGCGGGACGCACAGTGGGCCAGAAGACAGCACACTGTTATTGTTCTGAACCAGCCGCGCATTTAGAGTGCATGTTCCTCTCCTGGCCGCTCTGTCGGTGGAAACGAAGAAACAGGTTGTCGTTGGCGGGTTGAGCGATTCACTACTCATGTAAGCTTATGTGTGCGGCTCGTCATACAGTGTGCTCGCTCGGCCACGTCACCAGCGAATTTGCTGCATCGACACTCCACTGGCAGCGGGACTGCCCATGGGCAATGCTGGGCAAAGCCTGGGCATGCCCAGCCAATCCAGTCACGTGTCTTTCCAGGAAGGAAGCTGCAATTTCCGCTCTTCGACGCCGAGGACCACGGCGATGACGATCGAGGCGCTCTCGTCGCTCTTTCTCTGTCGGAGCCTCGCAGTGTGCCGTGAGGGTGCGAGAGAGACAGAGCGACGGAGCACGCGGCCGACACGACCCACCTGCCACACGAGCCAGTTTGACCGATTTGACCGATTTCTGCACAGCCTGTTGACTTTCTACTTGGGTCTCTAATCTATAGCCTCACGTCCGACGGCGTGTTTCCCTGGTTTCCCACACTGCAAAACGGCAGCGGCAGCAACAGCAACAACAACAACAACAACAACAAACGAATTCGTCTCCCCGCGCGTCGCCAGTTTGAGACGGGTTTGGATCGCCTTGCGGCTGTAAATTGGCACGATCGGAGAAACTGGAAAACACGCGTCAGAGTGGACGGACAAAGCGACGCCCCCTGCAGTCCGTTTCCGCAGGGATTTTCGTCGAGAGAGAGAGAGAGAGAGAGAGAGAGACAGAGACTGAGAGAAACGCGTGTTGTTCCAGGCACGCTGTGGTGCGGCGCGGGCAATGTGGCGCGCTCGGAAGACGACGTGGGCGTGTTCCAGTCGACGGACAGGTGCTGCCGCCAGCACGACAACTGCCCCGACAGCATCGCCGCCGGCGCCTCCAAGCACGGCCTCAGGAACACGGGCACCTTCACCAGGTCCCACTGTGACTGCGACGAGCAGTTCTACAAGTGCCTGCGCGCGGACCGCAAGTCCATCGTGTCCGTCAAGGTGGGCACCACGTACTTCAACTTGCTGCGGCCCCGCTGCTTCCGCGCAGTCAACCCCTGCGCCGGCCCCGGCTCCAGCCCGTCGTGAGTACCGCCGCCGCCGTCGCTCTGTCTCTCTCGCACTCATGGGGGCGCCCCGCACAGGTGCGAGAGAGACAGAGCGACGGGTCGAAGTTTACAACTTCCTCCTTCAACCTCGCGCTCGTCGCCATGTTATAGCGGTAGCGGGAGATTCGTGCTTGGCTGAGCCGTTTGTTGAAAGTCCAACCTTGAACCATGAACCTCCTCTGCATTGCCAAGTAACGGCACTTCGATACCCCGCTTCCAAAGCGACTGCCCATTGCAGACAGCCCCTCGCGCGCGGGGTATCGACGGGCCATTTTAAAGCAATGTCAGTCATCGTGACGCCACTACCGCGCGCGCGAGAGACTCTCTACGAGGTCGGCACAGAGAGGCCCCTCGCGCGCGGGGTATCGACGGGCCATGCTAAAGCAATGTCATTGTGACGGTGATAAAAACTGTGAGAACCGCCACTACCCCGCGCGAGAGAGACTCTCTACGAAGCCGGCATAGAGAGGCCCCTGGCGCGCGGGGTATCGACGACTTACTCGATCGAGTCACGGGAGGCGGATGGGTTGCCTACCCGCCGGGCTCTCGCGACGACGTTGTTCAACAAAAGGCCTTGTCGCTACCCCACCCGCGCGGCTCTCGCGCGTGGAGTAGCGACGGCGCGATTTGTCTCCAAAAATCGGCAACCTGGCCGACGCCCTGCCTTTGCTCCAGCGCGAGGACCTCGAACTGCACGGCGACGTTCCGCTGGTTCAACAACCGGATCTTCTAAGGAGGGCGGCCCGTGGGGCGGCCCGTGGCCCGCGCTCGCCCCGTCGCACCGTGTGACTTCGGAACGTGCCCGGTTGGACGGCGACGCGGCGCGGCCACCGCCACAGCTGCTACGAGTGTTTTCTAGTTTGCGGGCGACTCGCCCCAGTCTAGTTGTTGCTGCGTAGAGGGTGGCGCCGGTCAAACGAGTCATTTTTTCTCCAAGAAAGACACACCAAGGAAGACATAGAGTTAGTTACCAAAAAAGAACAAATCCTAGCTTGTTAAGGCGATATTTATTTTTCTACTAGAGTTATTTAAATTATATATTATTTTTTGAAAAGTTTATCAAAGTATTACGAAGGCTTTAAGAGTATTTAATATTTAAAAGGAAAGAAACTTTAGTTTTGCCAGTTCCTAAATGCTAGCGTAGGACTGTCGGCTGTGAAACATCGGCGTGAATAAAATACCTCCGCAAAACCAAAACACGATCTCTTTTCTCTCCTCCACACTGTAAAAACTAGCCAAAAAATCTTGAAGATTCCCGGAAAACTTTGTGAGAAAAAAATTGCCTCCTTCTGTACCTGCATTGCACTATGAGATTCCGGTAGGTATCGTACGTATTTTTTTTAACGAAGCCTTTGGAGGTTTCTTTGGAACGCACTTTCCGGCTTTCAAATTACTTTTTTTAAACAGTGCAACGCCTGTCCGCAACTTGCTCCGACACGACACACGGGCACGCAACGGAAACAAGCGACAATCAAAAAAATTGCTCTCGATTGTCATTTCCCCCGATAAAAAGCCGTAAAAAGCGCATCCACTCTCTGTCCTCGTTCTGCCGATTATTCTGCCCCGCGCCAGCGAGCGCCAGCGACTCCGAGTGAAAGTTTGAAAGTTTGGGGCCGCTGGATTTGTCAAAATCTCCTCCGCCCCGCTCTCTGCCGCCGCTCCCCTCGCGCCGAGCAGATCTGCTTCGTAAACAGGCACCGCTCTCCATCCAGCGGCTCCAACTCGCCCCGTCGGTGGCAAGAGAAAGAAAAATAAATAAATTCAAAAACAAAAATTTTAAAACAAAAAAAGGCGTTAAGTTTGCTGTAAATTTTCCTTTTCGAAAGTACATAGGAATTTCTGTTTGAAACCGACGAAATTTCCCAACAACAAGAACAAAAACAAGGACATGGAAGACCAGCAACAACAACAACAACAGCAGCCCTTCACGTCTCCTCATCGGGGCGTCGCCGTGGCGTCGCCATCCGGGGGCACCAAAGTTATTACTCAATAAGGCCTGACCGCGCAGGCGATCGGTTTGCGGCCCGCTGTGCGCACGTGTGTGTGTGTGTGTGTGTGTGTGTGTGTGAGAGAGAGAGAGAGAGAGAGAGAGAGAGAGAGAGAGAGAGAGAGAGAGAGAGAGAGGGAATGTGCGTGAACCGTTCCCCCGCACGGCTCCCTTAACACCCCGTGCGCCGTTCCCTTACGTGCCCCCCGTGGCGCCCCTTTTTCCGCTCGGACCCCCCGCCTCCTTTGATTGTCCCCCCTCCCCTTCCTCTTTTCAACTCTCGGTCGTGTACTGCGGGTGATTTTGGGTTTTCATCAAACCGGCGCGCGCCATTTTTGGGGGCCGCGTAATGACACCCTGCTGGCTGTTTCCGGAGAGAGTCGTTTTCGTCGCTCTGTCTCTCTCGCACTCGCGGGGCGTCCCGTGGGGTGCGAGAGAGACAGAGCGACGAAAACGACCCTTCGGCATCGCTCTGCTGGTCACGCAGAGTGTCAATATGAGGCACGGCTTCATATCGCGCCCCTGGTACCCCCCCTCCCCCCCTCGCGACAGGCGTCGCCGTCGTCGAGGCCCGGCTGCGCCTAGCTGCGCCGGCAGGCTAGGCAGCCCATCGTGCTCCCGGACGGCCTAAGGAGTGTTTCGTCGCTCTGTCTCTCTCGCACTCATGGGCCGTCCCGTCGGGGTGCGAGAGAGACAGAACGACGAAACGGTCGTTGAGAATCAGGCGGCAGGGCGGCGTGGCTCCGGACGGCCCGCACAGTGGGCCAGAAGACCGGTGGAGGCGGCCAAACCTCTAGACGCGTTTTGAGCTCCAGAGTCGCTAAATGGGACTCGAACCGAACGTGTGACCCCACCAATGGATCGCTCTTCGTACAAGGATTCCATTGGTGGGGTCATACGTTCGGTTCGAGTCCCATTTAGCGACTCTGGAGCTCAAAACGCGTCCAGAGTTTTGGCCGCCTCCACCGGTCTTCTGGCCCACTGTGGCCCGGCCCAGCCGGCGCGGCGCCCCCAGTGGACGCCGGGAAGTACTCGTCGAAGGGGAAACTTGATTCCGGCGCGCGGCACTGCCAGGGCACTGCCAGGCAGGGCACTGCCGGGGCAGTGCGGCATCGGGTGCGGCGCGTTGGATCTTCCATTTCGTTCGAGATCTCGTTCGATCCGCGCGTCGAGCCGGTCTTCGGCTGAACGGCGAGGCGAGTCAACGGGGTCAAATGGGTTTGGGGACTGCCGGAAACTGCCGGAACTTTCCATCACGTCGTGGAGGGCCTCTTCGTGGCCGCTAACGCCTGGCCCGCGCCGCCTCGCGCCGCCCGCCCCGCCCCGCCCCGCCCCGCCCCGCCCCGCCCCGCCCCGCCCCGCCCCGCCCCGCCCCGCCGGTCCGCGTCATCATCCGATGCAGCGGGGAAACGCCCCCCTGGGGGTCACGGCCGCCGACGGCCGCGATCCGAGCGCTCTCTCACACCGCAGTAAAGCTGGCCGTGCCCGCCGAGTGCCTGCCGCCCGAATCCGAAGGCATGTCTCTGTCTCCCTCGCACCCCCAGTGGGCGCACCGTGAGTGCGAGAGAGACGGCGCGACGGAACGACCCTTCGGGATGAGACGGCCCACGGCCCGCGCACTCCTCCACGGTGCCGGGGCGTCCTCGGCATCGCTCCCCGAGGAGTCTGCCAGGACGGCGGCGGCCTTGCACAGTGGGCCAGAAGACCGGCGGAGGCGGCCAAAACTCTAGACGCGTTTTGAGCTCCAGAGTCGCTAAATGGGACTCAAACCGAACGTGTGACCCCACCAATGGATTGCTCTACGAACGAGGAATCCATAGATGGGGTCACACGATCGGTTCGGGTCCTGCTTAGCGACTCTGGAGCTCGAAACGCGTCTAGAGTTCTGGCCGCCTCCACTGGTCTTCTGGCCCACCGTGCCTTGCCCGCCTTGCCGGCCTTGCCGGCCTAGCGAACGGTACAGGGCGCCTCACGCCCTTGTGGCGGTGGAGTGGCGCGCGCCCTAGTCGTCGCGCCGAGCGATTCGGGGGTGCGGTTCGTCGCTCTGTCTCTCTCGCACCCTTCCGGACAGCCCCGTGAGTGCGACAGAGACAGAGAGGCGAAGCGGCCGAAAGTCGGGCGACATGAAGAGCTCCTCAAACAGGGTGTCCTAGTTGGCCTGGCCCGGGCCGAACCGGCCGGGGTGCGAACAAGTCCCTAAATCACTAAAACCAACATTTACCTGCTGTGCCTAGACGTACGTGCGGGGGCGGCGGCGGAGTCTCGCTGTGTGTGTGTGTGTGTGTGTGTGTGTGTGTGTGTGTGTGTGTGTGTGAAGAGAACTCTGTATGTGTGTAGGGGAGTGTGTGTGTGTGACACAGACAGGACCTGGCCCGCGGTGACTGCCGAATATTAGTCGAGCCGACTACCGGGGCAAACTTGGCGGCGGTCGGTGTGCACACAGCGCGGTGCGCGGCAGCAGACTGATTCCGAGAGTCGTTTTCGCCGCTCTGTCTCTCTCGCACTCAGGGGGCGTCCCTTAGAGGTGCGAGAGAGACAGAGCGACGAAAACGACTCTCGGAATCAGTGTGCCGGCAAAAGCGGGCTGGGCGGGCGAGGCGGGGGCGGGCGGGCCGCGGAAAGTCATGACCTTTGCAAAAGCGGCCCCCTCGCGGGATAGGCAGCCGCTTTGTGGTCCTGGGAGGCAGGAAGTGGAAAGGGGAGGGGGAAGAGGGGGGGGGGGAACGCAACGCGTCGACACGTTTGGATTGACGTCGAAAAAAGGCGTCGTGGCGGTAATCTCGTTCTGGAGCGCGACGATTCAAACTGATCTCGCTCCAATCACAGTTTAATCTGTCCGCCGCCCCCTCCCCTCCCCCCACCCCTTCCCAGCCACACTTCCGCGCCGCGTTTTCGCCGCCCGGCCGCATCAAAATGGCCGTGGCCCCCAAACGGCGCTGTTCTTTCCGTCTGTCTATCCATCTGTCTGCCTGTCTGTCTGTCTGTCTGTCTGTCCGTCCGTCCGTCCGCCAGGGCCTGCAAATGCACACGATTAACATGACAAAGGGAGACTGGCACTGGCGGCCCGGCGGGTCGCGCGACGCGAGGCCGGATTGTGGTGCCAGACCTGCGACCCTGCAACCCTGCAAGTGGCGAAGCGGCCTGCCCTCTGCGCTCTGGGCACTGCGCAAGGTGCATAAAACAGTCGCCGTGTTTGATTGTTTTTGTTCTTTTTTCAGAAAAAAGTTTATTTTTTTGGTCGTGATATTTTTTTTTTTTTTTTTTTTTTGCAAAAATCATAAGTAGGCCCGCGAGAAAGCGGGGTAGATTGGCACCCCAACGACCGCGACCCGCGTGGCGGCGTGCCGCCCAGCTTTTCGGAAGACCGCTTTGTCGCTCCGTCTCTCTCCCACCCTCGCGGAGAGCCCCGTGAGTGCGACAGAGACAGAGCGGCGAAACGGACACTTCTGAATCGCTCGGCCTGGCGGCGTGGCCGGCGCGGCCATGCCGGGTCGGAATTAAATGTGTTCCTAACGAAGGCGCCGAGCTCGCGGCCCGACCGGGTACATATTCATGAAGGTGTCTGTGGCGCTGGCGGGGCGGCCGGGCCGGGCCGCTTCTAACGAAGTCAATGAAAAGAAAAGCACGGAGAAATGGCGGGCAAGCGCTCCGCCCCGCCCCGCCCCGCCCCGCCGCTCGAAAGGGGCCAAAGAGGCCGCTTCTTCATCACCTCCCGGTTTGTTAGCAAGGGGTGTCGGAGCAGCGCCGGCGCGCCGGTGGTGTCAATGGTCTGGCAGAGAGAGAGAGAGAGAGAGAGAGAGAGAGAGAGAGAGAGAGAGAGAGAGAGAGAGAGAGGGGGGGGGGCAGAGACAGAAAGGGGCGGCTGAAATCTCATTTCACGCTGGATGGCTGTCAAAATGTGGCCGCTAAGTAGGGTAGTGTGGCGACGCAGCGCGACGCTCGCGTTAGTTTGAGTCTCGGAACGGCGTCCATTCGGCGACCCAGTCGGCACTCCACTGGAGGGCTGCAAGGCGGTGGAACGAAGCGCACCACCGCCGCCTCGTTTAGCGAACAACTGTTCGGTGTTGTTATTCCCCCGCAGTTTGGAGGCCATTTGCGTGCGATGGCCCGGGCCGCACGCAGCCTAGCTGCTCGGAGTCTCGAAGCTCGAGTCTCGAAGCTCGAGTCTCGAAGCTCGAGGCTCGAATCTCGAAGCTTGACTCTCGAAGCTCGAAGCCAGGGCGGTGGCGCGGTGCGCGCGTTAATCCCCGCGGGATACCACAATGGAGTCAAATCCCCACGGAATCCCTCGGGAACCGTGCCGCCCGTGCCGAGCGCCGCGCCGACTCGATTCGATAGATCGATATTATTCCGGAAATTTAAATAAAAACATGCCGCCGCGCGCGGAGAGAAGAAAAATCCAGAATGTTTGTTTGCACTCCTCAACTTTTTGGGTCATTTTTAGCATCGTCTCTGCGAGAGGTCTCGATTTGCTCATTTACACTGAGCGCGCCCACGCGAAGCGCGCCACTGGTCTTCTGGCCCACTGTGCGGCTCATCATGTCACGTGGGAAGCACACCGAAGATACGCTCCTCTCTATGGCCGCCCGGTGACCGGCCAGTGAAGCATCCGGAGGGAATATTCACCGCAGTCGTTCGTTCGCCCACATGCTGTTGGCTGCCTCCGATCGCGTCGCTCTGTCTCTGTCGCACTCGCGGAGCGCTCCGTAGGGGTGCGAGAGAGACGGAGCGACGAGACGATTCTCCGGCTGGTGCCGCCCCCGCTGTGCCGCGGTGTGACTCTGTCCCACTCGCACCCGTCCGCACCGCCCCGCGAGTGCGAGAGAGACAGCGCGACGCGTGTTCGGGGCGGCGGGCTGCGCGGCCGGGCCTCTGATTTGCAATTGGGTGTCGAATAGATGGCCGCAGATTACGCGGGTAAGCAGGCGACAGGGGCCCATGCATCAACGGCAGGCAGCACCGCCAGCACACTGCCACGGCGGACGTCCCCCCCCTCCCCCCCCCCCCCACTCACCCTCTCTTTCTCGCTGCCTGCAAATTGGGCCGTTCAGCGCAGCGATTCCGAACCCCCGTCGCTCTGTCTCTCTCGCACTGACGGGACGCGTCGCAGAGGTGCGAGAGAGACAGAGCGATGCGTGTGGAATCCGCGCAGGCCGATTCAAAACCGCGTTTTCGTCGCTCTGTCTCTCTCGCACGCCTGCGGCTCGCCCCGTGAGTGCGAGAGAGACGGAGCGCCATTACGCCCACCTGCTAATGGCGACAAACTGCCGTCCTCTTGTCGATGATCCCAAAGGGCGGCCAGCCAATTTTCCTTACTAATTCAGTGTGCCGAGGATTGGACCATCCTTTGCCGCCGGAACCCAATGTTGTTGTTGGTCGCGTGGCGGCGAGGGAGGGAAAACAAAAACAAACAACAAACAAAAGAACACAACAGAAGCTGAAACGCCGTTTATTCTGTGGATTCAACAAGCTGTAACTTGTGTAGTCATTTTATTAATGGGGATTCCACTCTTCGTGTGTGTGTGTGTGTGTGTGTGTGTGGCAGAAATAGGGTGCAAGATTTGTGCAAGAGAACGTGGACCCTTTCATCCGTGCAACGCGGACCAGTTCGTTATAGCGCTTCGAAATGATGATGTTGAATTAATTTGACGACGTTTCCGAACACCTGTACCATTTCGTAATGGTGGTGTCTCTATGAAACAATTAGATACTAAGTTGGTTGTGTATACAACAGCAGAGGGCGGAGGACCTTGAACCTTGAACGAAGACTGAGTCTTGAAGTCTCGAATCCGGTTCTGTCGCCAGAGTGCGGTACAGTGTAAGGACCCTGACTGGATCCCCGGTTGCACACGGCCCGGCGTCCGTATCAGGTGTGTCAGGAAAACAAACTACTCAGGGGAATTCGATAATCGGGCGTTCGACGTCAGCGACCACGCGGAGAGCACCCTTCGCCCTCGCGGTGGCAACCACGGAAGGTGGGACGGTAGACTTTCCCTGTCGCCAGGGGAGTCACTACTGGCGCTCAAATTGTTTGTTTAGTTGTTTCATCCGTCCGACAGGTGCAAAGGGGCAGCCTTATGCCCCAGTGTACGCGCAGCTTGGAGGAAACAGCCTTACAAGAGGTGACGCGCCACTATCAGTGAAGGCTTTCTCACGAATCCCGAATCGCCGCCAGGATGATCCGTTCTTTACAGAGGACTATACAGTTGCAATAACTGCTTACTCATATATTACGAAACTGGGCTCTTTAAAAATGGCTTTGATATGTTGATTTACATCGGAATCATTAAAAAGAGAGCCTAGAACCTACCGGTGGGTGAGCGGTAAAGCGCTGTGGCACTGTGCACTAAAAAAATCTGCTTCCTGAACCAAGAGACTTCAAATAAATGAATTTACCTGAAAGTCTCAAGTAAACTGACTTGTTCCAAGTATCCGGGATACGATCCTTTTGGGTGCTCGTCTTAGTCTCGGTAAGTCACCATCAGGTGATGAGTACGACGACTCTCGCTTTCTTGACGTTATCCCTCGTCAGGTTTGACTATTTATTTTTGGTCTAGTCTCCCAACACCTATATGTGTATTGCCCGAGTCGAGCGGACTGTGCTAAAAGTACAGTCAACGCTGCTTGAATATAGTTGAGATTTGCCACTACACTTGCAGAAAAAAGTACAGTAGAACGCTCCGAAAATATCTGGTCAGTTATTCAACTGGACCGTCAGTATGCCAGCTTAAATGAGATCCTCATGGAAACCTCGGAGAACCAGTGCGGGAGTCCCGTACCCTTTCCGTACATTTTCCGTACCAAGCTACTGTTTTTTTTCTCAACGTTCAGTGTTTTTTTTTTTTTGTTTTTTTTGGCTCCAGGCGCGGCCCGTCACACACCTGAGCGCAGCGCGTTGCCTACCCTGCTCTTCGCAGGCGCTCCGGGCGACGCGGCACTCCGACGAGTCGCGTATTTCAACGCGTTTTCTGCACTGGAAACTTCGCAGTGCACTGAGTACACACATTAATCACTTAAGTGTGTACTGAGTACACCCCTTTTAGTGCGAAAGTGTACACACTGAGTACACCTTTTTAGTGCCAAAGTGTACACACTGAGTACACACTTAGGTTTTCCGTGACGGGTGAGAGGTAGAGTTTCGGTGGTGAGGGTTGAAGGAGGAAGAACAAATCAGTTTAACACGCAATTTAGTTTATTTAACAGTAATACTACTTGCAACACGAATTTCTTTTTCATTTTGGTGAAGACGCTATCACGCGAAAAATGTTTCACGAGTCGAAACATTGTTACAATGTATGTTTTTTTTCTTAACGCGACTTAAACATCTAAGACAAATAATTTACACGACCTTAACGAACTAAATTACAGTAGTCCTGCGACGGTCTCCGGCGCTCGGCGTTCCATTCGGGAGGGCCGCGCTGGCGGGACTCGGCGGGAGGGGAATACAGGGTTCACTAACACAGTGTGAGGGACGGCTGGGCAGCGACAATGGAATGACTCTACACGACGATGACAGGCGAATGAACAATACTTAACACGCGTAATAATAATAATAATAATAATAATAATAATAATAATAATAATAATAATAATAATAATAATAATAATAATAATAATAATAACGCTACACTGGTATCACAACACTACTGCGGTCATACACAAGTGTTCCTGCGCAGCGGGCAGGGCGACGGGGGTCTCGGGGAGGTGGGGATGCGGCTGCAGCTGTTGTAGATGGCGCGCAGCTGCAGGTGCTTGGAGCGTGCCCTCTCCGCCTCGGAGACGCGTCGCTCGTCGAGGTGCTCGAGCTGCGGCAGCTGCCACACCATGGAGAGCCTGCAACAGGTGGGGCAAGGCCGCCGTCAGACTGTGGAAAACCTTACAAACTATTTTAGGCCTTTCGAAGAAAAGCAGCTTGTTATGACAAAGTATTTTTGAGCATACATAAAGCTGACAAAGAAAATACTTCGTAATTCACGAACTATTTCGTCGTATAAGAAAGTAAATTAGTTCGTAATTTGTATGCTCAAATACTTTGTTAGGTTTTAAGTGTGCAAACACCGCGGGGAAAAGCCCTGCACACTGAAGGTTTGTGTACTCCCGTTGTCCATAACTATTGCCATACTTGTGTGCATGTACACGGAAAAAGCAGTACCTGGGGTGTACAGGCCTATTCTGGAGTGAAAAAAAAATCAGGAGCCGCCTGAGAACCCCAGGTACTGCTTTAGCCGTAAAGATATGCACAAGTTAATACATAATGCCGATACCATTTGACGCGCTTTTGACGCTAACTTTGTCCGTCGGCAAAGTATGTCATTTTATCGCTAGTCATTTTCCAGCGTGGCGACCTTTTCCTGTTCCCTCGGGGAGTTGTTGACAAACAAAAGGGTCGAAGTGTGCTGGCACCAGGGTGGGTTGAACAGTGAGCGGGTTGCGGTAGGCCAAGACGAGCGATCCGTATCTCCCCCGTTTTGGACGTCCTGCAGTCACCTGTTGCACGTGTTGTTGTTGTTGTTGTTTTTATTTGGGCGAGCAGGTGGGTTTCGATAACTAGGATGATCGAGATAAGGGCTTCGAGAACGTGCGACTCGGGCATGGCGTCGTAGTGAAATAGTGCGGGGGCGCGATGCGCAATTGACTCGCGAGTTAAATGCGCGTCTCCGTTCGGACTTTATCGCACCGCGGACCAAAAGCGGGAAAACAGCCTTATCTTATTTTCGCACGGCAAACGCTTTGATAAAGCAACGCGTGGAGGAACTGCCGCAGTCCAGTCTTTATTGTGATGGTGACTCACTGTGCGTATCTATAGTCCGATCGCTGCACCGATGCACCACCGATTAACCGCGAATGCGTATATAGTCCAATCGCCGAAGTGGTTTCCTTCCGGTCTGGGTGGCGGCTGTCTGTCCACTGCCGAGTGGTTCCGCTCATCATCAGTCTATCTCTCTCGCGCTCACGGGGCGCCCCGTGTAGGTGCGAGAGAGAGCGCAAGGTTGAACGCACTGCACAAGGTTTTCGGGTGTCGCGTCGCCGCCACGTCAGCGGCGTGACGTCGGTGCGAAACGTAATGGACCGCCACGCGTTCGCACGCGCGTAACCACACTGATAAGCAGCGGTGCGTCTCTCTCGCACCTCGCGCGCGCCCTGCGAGTGCGAGCGAGACAGAGCGACGCGACCGTTCGGAATCCGTCTGAAGATAAGCCGCAGTGTCACCACGAGGTGCAAGGCGAGGCAAGGGGTGCCTGGCGGTGGCGGTCGTGGGTTCGAGTCCCGCTGCCGCGCCGTTTTTATCTGTCCTTCCGCGCCGCAGCTCGGCACGAAAGAGGAAGGCGTCTTGTTTTCGCGCAAAGTGGCGGCCGCGGGTTCGAATCCCGGCCGGGTGCGTTTGACCTCGGCGTTCTCGGGGTTGCCGGCGTGCCTCAAGATGGCGGCCCTAGTCGTCTGCCCCTGCCTTGTCCTCGGCGGCCTCCATGGCGGCCTCGGCTGATGAAACCGGGCGGCCCGTTGCGTTTGAAGCAAATAGCGGGCCGTGGGAGGAAACAATAAGGCAGCGTCTGTCTCTGTCGCTCTCGCTGGGCGTCCCGCGCGTGCCGCGTGGGTGCGAGAGAGAGGGAGAGAGAGGCAGTGGAGGCAGCCTGCGGCCGGCCGGCCACAACAAGCAGCAGTATCTCTACGCCGAGATGCGCGTCCACGCTGCGCCCGGCCAGCCCCGCCAGGCCCGGCCTGCATCGCGCCCTCAAGGCTGCCCTGCGTCTCCCCTTGAGTCTCCCGAACCTTCGGCCGCGCTCCGTCTCTCTCGCACCCGCGGGGCTCGCCTTGCCGCAGGGGAGCGAGAGAGACGGAGCGACGCGTTCGGAAGGATCCCGCAGCACGCATGGGCGGCCTCGACGATCCAGTCAGTCAGTCAGTCACTCGGGCGGGCGCCTCGCCTTGCAATGCGAGAGAGACGATCTTATCGGCGGCCATCGCGATAAGCAGAGCACGCCGTCGCGTCGCGGACAGGTGGAGGGCCTACACTGTGGGCGACAGGGACCTCCACGACGCTCGCGACCCGCTGCCCCCGCCAAAGCCACCAGCTGCCCCGGACGCGACGCGTTCGACCAGGGTTGCATGCACACACTCTAATTGTCTGAAGTGCTAAAATACCGGTAGAGGCGGTCAAAATTCCGGACGTGTTTTGAGCTCCAGAGTCACTAAATGGGACTCAAACCGAACGTGTGACCCCACCAATGGATTGCTCTCCGAACGAGGAATCCATCGGTGGGGTCGCACGTTCGGTTCGAGTCCTGTTTAGCGACTCTGGAGCTCAAAACGCGTCTAGGGTTTCGGCCGTCTGCGCCGGTCGTCTGGTCCACTGTGCGACCGATCGTAAAAGGCAGGCGATGCGTGCCTTGGCAGTGCCTTGGCAGGGTAGCTTAGGTGAGTGCCCCTGATTCCCCCCGCTATCTGCGTGGAAAAACACGGCAGATCCTCGACGACGCGCCGAGTCGCAGGAATCGGCCGGCAGGGTGCGGCCGTCTGGGACGTTCTCAAGCCTGCAGCCAGAGGGATTCGAACCCACAGAAATGGAAGCCCATAGACCAAAATCCCGGACGTGTTTTGAGTGCCAGAGTCGCTAAATGGGACTCAAACGGGACGTGTGACCCCACCAATGGATTGCTCTCCGAACGAGCTATCGATTGGTGTGGTGGGGTCACACGTTGGTTCTTTTTAAATGCAATCTTTTCATAACTTAACTTTGGCACCCCTTTCATGAGTGAGAAATTTCAGCAAGATCACTAGACGCGACCCCTGAGCCAACGGGTGAAGAATGCGTCACTTTGCTGGAATTTGAACCGCCGTCGGCAGAATCGCGCCAGAGAGCACGACCGTCGCGGCCTTGAGCTTCAGATTGTGCATGCGGAAAGCAGCGGACCCACTCCTATTCTAGCCCGCGGTTGTGTAACGCGAAAATGGCGTAAATCTGTGCGTGGGATGATTCGCCTCAGAAACGGCGACACTGTGATGGATCGTCGTTTTTACGTCGGGTCGTCGAATGGATCTTCGAATTTCGTTTTTACTATGGAGAAAATCTTTACCACAGTATGGTGGTGCAGCCTTTCACCGTAAGAAATTTAGAGTGCAAAAATTTGGAGGTTTTTTTTCTTTTTTTTTTAAAGAATTTTCTTAGGTAGTGACTGGCGCACTGGTTGGACGCTCACCTGTAGCGGGCGCACTCCCCGGGCTCGCCGCCGGTGAGAGGCGACGGCGCGGCCTTGTTGCCGATGAGGCTGAGGTGGCGCAGGCGCGGCGTCTGGCGCTGCAGGCGACGCACCAAAGGCTGGGCGTGGCGCACGTGGTTGTGGTTCAGCCACAGCAGGCGCAGCCGCGGCAGCCGGGGCAGGTCCACGTCCTCGCGGAGCAGGTTGTGGTCCAGCACCAGCGAGGTGAGGTTGGGCATCGCGCACAGGAACTCCACATCCCTGAGGCACAACACGCTCTGTAAGTCACTGGCTGTCTACACGCCACACTGTCTACACTATGGGTCTACACTGTACTCTGAAGCACTCCGGGGGTCTACACTGTACTCTGAAGCACTCTGGGGGTCTACACTGTACTCTGAAGCACTCTGGGGGTCTACACTGGGTCTACACTGCACTCTGAAGCACTCTGGGGGTCTACATACTGGTTCTACACTGCACTCTGAAGCACTCTGGGGGTCTACTCTGGGTCTACACTGTACTCTGAAGCACTCTGGGGGTCTACACTGTACTCTGAAGCACTTTGGGGGTCTACACTGGGCCTACACTGAACTACACTGGGTGTCTACACCATCTACTTCACTGAGTGTTTCTATAATCTGGGTGACACCGGGGGGTGTCTACTCAGTCTCCTACACTAGGTGTCTGTCTACCAAGTCTTCTACACTGGTTATATTACACCGGGGAAAGGGTTCGAAGCAGCTCGGTGCCAACTTGTCAACAAATGGTGAAAGTGCTCTTATCTTGTTAAGGGTGGGCACTACAAGCAGACACGTGGGATTAAAAAATAAACCTTTGGAACTTGAATTTAAAAATAAGTTCATCCCATGCACGACGCTTCTCAGGCGCATTGTTGCAGAGATGCACCTTTACAGCTCAAGTTCGTTTTCCTCAAGTTGGCACACTCTATGTTGTATAGTGAACATTCTCTATATTATGCTGAAAATTTTCCATATTATGGAGGTGCAGCTGACTTTATAACATACCAATGAGAATTCACTGTATCGTATAGATATTTCGACGAATTTTGTTTGTATTATGGAGAAAATCTCCACCATAATATGCTGGTGCAGCCTTTACGACATTTACAGTGCACTTGCTGGACCCGCGAGTCCCCCGCGAAGGCATGGAATGCAGCAAGGCCACTATCAGAGAGAAAAGCGAGAAACTAGACAAGTGTTCGATAAGTCGGCTCGACTCAAAGGGACGCGACGGGGATGGCGGGCGGGCGTGCCGATGTCGGTCGCATAGGCCAAAAAGAAGATGGTCTATCAGACGAGGAAATGATTGCACATCGCCGAGGGAGAGAGAGACGGGGAGAGGGGCAGGGCTGGCACGTTCCCCTAGACATCGTCACGCCACGGCCCTCGGTATCAGAGTGTGTGTGTGTGAGGGAGAGAGAGAGAGAGAGAGAGAGAGAGAGAGAGAGAGAGAGAAGGAGAGTGGAGGTCACGTAATGGCAGGCATCAAATGCAACAAAACAAAACAAGCCAGGAATCTCAAGGGAAGTGAAAAAAAAGGTTGTACGGAGTGCAGAGCACGTGCGCGCGGGGCAAACTCTGCCGTTTTGACTGCATATGCCAGCCAAGCAGCATGGCGTGGGCCTCTCTCTCTCTCTCTCTCTCTCTCTCTCTCTCTCTCTCTCTCTCTCTCTCTCTCTCTCTCCTTTCATCTCCCTTTTTTTCCTCTCGCGTGATTCTGTGAGGCATGATATGAGGATTCAAGGGCCGGATATCCCTCAAATCCGAGAGGAAGATATCCCTGGATGGATTCTCTGCGAAACACATACACAAACACACACACACACACACACACACACACACACACACACACACACACACAAGGAGGCCAAATCCGCCCCTGCGACGCTAGCGCCGTGGAGACCCTATTCCCGACAAAACACGCCTGGTAACCCAAAAATTGAGTTGTCGCGCGGCGATTCTGTTTTGTGACCCGGTTTAGGGTTTAGGGGAACAGCAGCCGGAATTGGCGCTGCCCTCCGGGAGAGAAGTGGGTCGGTTGCCGTCGGTTCCCGGAGGAAAGCGAGGGTGATGGAAAATGGCTTTGCAAAGGAAAGCGAGGCCCGGCACGGCCACGCCAAGTGGCCCGTCCTCCGGGAGGCACGTCCCAGAAAAGTATCCCGCGGATGCAGAACCGCCAAACTCGCCGCCTCTTCGTTTTGCAGCCAGCGGTTCGAACCGGACTGATACGGCATTGCCGGCCCGGCCATTGCAGTCGCCGAACCCGCTTCTTTTTTTCGCGTCCGCCAGTGGCGTGCCCGTTGCTGGGCGGAGCGAGGCGGAGCGGGCGGACGGACGTCACCGACATTCGCCATTCCGAAATCTGCCCTCGGGTGATAGTCGTATCGAGCCGGGCGGGACTGCGCACAGTGCGCCCGAAGACCGGTGGAGGCGGCCGAAAGTTTGGACCGACCCCGAGACCCTGCCGCGCTGAGGCTCCGTGACTCACCTGAGCAGGTTGTGGCTGAGGTCCAGTGCGGTGATGCTGGCCCCCAGGCCGGCGGCCAGGGGCGGCGGCACGCGGTCCAGGTCCTCCCAGGCCAGCGAGACGGCGCGATCGCCTCCGGGGAAGTCCCAGGGACGCTGCCTCCAGGCCGAGACGCTCTTGTTGTTGTTGTTCACGTCCTTGTCGTCGTCGTGGTTCGCGGTGTAGGTGACGCGAGGCAGCAGCTGCTGCTTCTCGTGGTAGATGTCCTCGGCCTCACATCGGCTAGCATCCAGCCCAAGGTCCAGGACAAGTCCAAGCTCGGCGAGGCAGTCGCTGCAAAAGATGAGTCATCGCTTATCAAGATGCCAATTACAGTTGTTGGACGCAGTCACCCAGCCCTCCCTCCCTCCCTCGGTGCAACCGAACCTAGGGTTTTTTTCTCGCTCGAGAGGTTATGTTCCACTTCCTGCAATCGGCCCAACGAATTATGCCGGTCCGCTCACGCGACCCTCGTCATTAAGAAATCGTTCCTTTCTTTTCTCCTTTTTTACCCGTCGACTTTTTTTCTGGTGTGGGGACGCGGCTGATAGCGCTGCGATTACTCAAGACGACTCGTGCCGTCTCACTGCCGCGCTGCCCAATCGTCACCTTCCGTCTGGCGCGACCAATCGTCGCTCCGCGCGCCAGTTTTCAAACCACCCCGGCCAGAGGAAGGCTGTCGGCAACCCTAGCTAGCTACCGCTCCGTGCGGCGGCGAGTGTACGGCTGTAGGCAACCCTAGGCAACCCCAGGCCCGTCCCACTATCACAGACAAGTGTGTGGCTGTCGGCAACCCTAGTCGACCCCAGACCCGGTTCCCGCGCCCAGTACAGTCGGCAACCCTAGGGAACCCCAGACCCGGTTCCCGCGCCCATTGCAGTCGCCCCCACTCTATTCTTTTTGTCCCTTTTCGGGTTCGCCAGCCGAGCCGCCAAGCCGGCGAGGCCCCTTACCGTATCAACACCATGGCAGTCAGGCACAGAATGCCGGAGTCCTCGCCAGATAGCGGTATTAAAGGAAGCGCGCCCCGCCCCACTCCCGCCAGGACCCCCTCCCCTCCACGGCGCGCGTCTTTCCGGCAACCTAACCTCACTCCGCCAGGCAGCGCGCCTTGCGGCCATCCCAGGCCATCCCTTTCGCGAGGCTTTCACACACTAAGTTTTTTCATGAAAAAATTTTGTACGTGTAACTTGCACGATTTTCAGCATACGTGGAATTAGCAGAATGTGTAAACATGCACAAATTTATGCAAATTGGGGCACATTTCCAACGCGAAACGCACCACAGATTGAAAATCATGCAACACCACGTACAAAATTGAACATGAACATTCAGCGTAATTCATTCATTCATTCATTCATTCATTCATTCATTCATTCATTCATTCATTCATTCATTCATTCATTCATTCATTCATTCATTCATTCATTTTTGCAATTGACGACGTTATTTCTGTATCTCGTCTACGGCGAGTGATAGAAAATTTATGCAAAAGGACGACCCCGCCTTAAATTTAATTTTAGAGCGGGTCTACGCGATATAACTTTTCTATCTCTAGCCGTTCACGAGACACAGATATAAGAATAATTTCAAAGATATCGTGGTTGCGCGCCCTGCTTTTCGGCAAACGAAACTAATTATTGACGCAGAATCTATCAGTGAATCACCTCAGTGCTGCGTGGTGCCTATCTCTGAATCATCGCGTACGACAGAGAAAAATGTGTCGCCGGCCGGTCCGGTTTTTAGTCCCCCAGGCGCTGATAAGAGGTCAGCATGCACCTGCTGGTTGCACGCGAGGCGAGAGCATAGCGTCAAGAGCCTCCAAAAACGGATACCGCGTGTTCTTGGGGGAGTTCAGGCCAGAGTTGACCGAACTCCGAGATTCGGGGCATCACTGTTAGTGCTATGACCTCGTGTGTGTGTTTGTGTGTGTGTGTTGTGTGTGTGAGTGTGGAGTGTTGGTGTGTGTGTGTGTGTGAGTGTTGGTGTGTTGGTGACTGTGTGTGTGTGACTGTGAGTGTGTGTGACTGTGAGTGTGTGTGTGTGTGTGTGTGTGCGTATGTGTGAGAGCATTAGTAAGAGCGTGTGTGTGCATGTGTGGGTGCGTGGAGGGCGCGCGCGTTGAAACTAACATTAAGCGTCTGTTTGCTTGCCGCTTTTCCTTGACTTTATCGTAAATGCGTGTGGCTCTGTGTCGAGGTGAAAGTTGAATGGGTCTGTCACCTCCCAAAGGCAAACAAACCGAGGCATTGGAGCAAAAAAAAAAAAAAAAAAAAGCGACGCTTAAAACAAACCAGCGGGTCTATTCTTCTTTACAGTCATTGGACGCTGCGTGTTTGCACGGGGAAAGGTGTTATTTCCAGGCGGGGGCCGGGTAAACCGGCTGAAACCTCGAACGCAGCCTTTGGAAACCGGGTTTCGACGGTTGTTTTGACGCGGAATCCTCCGTTCAATGTGGACCGTGGCGGCCCGTCCGGCCCGTCCAGCAATCTCTGCGAAGCCTCCCCCCTCCATTCCATTGTCTCTTTCTCTCTTTATTCCCCGTTGCTTCCTTTCTTCTCTATCTCTCTCTTTTTTTCCTGTTCGTGCGGTACGTAAGCGATATTCATTGCGCTCTTGGAGACCCTGACTCTGACGCCCCCGAAAAACAGAGCAAGAGAGAAGGTCGCTCGCGAATGAAACAATTCCACCCACCCTTTGTAAGAGTTGCGACACTGGGACCGACTGGGACACTGGGAAAGGGAAAAACGTAAACGAGCTAGCAGCGCTCATTCCACCCTGTTTCCTTTCCCCACCAACCCTTCTCCTTCCTCTCCTCCTCTCTCTCTCTCTCTCTCTCTCTCTCTCTCTCTCTCTCTCTCTCTATCTCTCTCTCTCCTCTCGCCCACTCACACTTGCACACATACGGTTTGGCCAAATAATATTGTTTTCCGCTTCGGAAAGCCACCGCACTACCAGTCCACAGCGTGGCGCTGGACATTGTGCACATGTGCAAGATAAGCTCCCTGGAGTACAGTGCACCTTGCAGACCTTTTCCCTCGCCCCTTCCCGCCCCCCCCCCCCAGTTCTGTACTCTTTTTTTTAGTTTTCTTGAGAGTCGTAAATGGCGGGAGAGTTACGAGTCGTGACTCGTGAAGACAAACCTCTACTACAGTCAGCGGTTACATGCAAACACTAGAAATCTTTGATTGTTGTTTTCGAATAGAGTTTTGGCCTCCGGCGCCGGTCGTCTGGCCCACTGTGCAGCATCCAGCAACCAGACCGGTCACCTCAAATGCATCCTTCTCGGCAGTGCCCCGCCAGGACTCACCAGCTGCACAGGATGTCGTGCTTGTGCTTCTTGACGAGCACCTCGGGGTCCACGACGTGCTGCCTCTTGGTGGCGCCCGAGCCGCGGGCCGCCATGGCGGGAACCATGCCGGGGCCCATGGCGGCGGGGCCGACGGACGAGGGCCTGCAGAAGGCGATCAGGACCAACTCCATGGCGGCGGGGACCTCGGCGATGTCGCTGACGGCGATCACGGCGTGACAGCGATCTCGTTGAGGAGACACCCTGTCTGCTTGCTGCCGGCCGCACGACTTTGCCTCTCAGCCTCCCGGCCGGTCCACGACAGCTGCTGCTGATAAGAGACGGCCGGGGGAGGGGGAGGGCCCGGAGGGGCCGGCGGCGTGATCCACGGGGGGCGCGTACCTGCAACTGCTGCTGCACGATGGTGACGCGATTGGTGGCGTTGTGGTGACACTGAGGTGACCGAGTGGTAGCCCGGTGCACCCTAGGTAGCTCGGTGGTGGCTCTCTGGAAAGCAGGTGGCCCTCGCAGCACTGCGGGCCAGAAAACCGGCGCCGGCGGCCAAAACTCGCGTTTCGAGCTCCAGAGGTGTTAAACAGGGCTTGAACAGAGCGTGTGACCCCATCAATAGACTCCTCGTTCGGAGAGGAATCCATTGGTGGGGTCACACGTTCGTTTCGAGTCCCATTTAGCAACTATGAAGCTCAAAACGCGCTCTGGGTCCTGACCGCCTCCACCGGTCTTCTGGTCCACTGTGCGACGGTGGCCCGGCGTGGCCGCGGGGTCAGGGGGTGTGCCGATAAGGTGCGCCGCACAACAGGTGGCCCAGCCGCTCCGTCTCTCTCGCACCCCTGCGGGACGACCCACTGTGTGAGAGAGACGGACTGCGGCCCCGCCACTGCCTTATTAACATAATCGCACACGCCGTAATGGCCGCAAAATTACGCGCCGGCCGTTATAAGTGGTCGTTAATTCTGCGTGTGTGGCAATACAGTGTAGCGGACGGACGCGGCGCGCCCTCGGTGACCCGCGCCCTTTTTTGAGGTCGCGTAAAAAAACGATGTGAACAAAAAAAAAGTAGTTATTGTGTTTGGCAACGCGGTCAAGCGCACGACCCTTCTCGGGTGCACCGGGCCGTGGCTTCAAAAAAAGCAGCACACACTTCACGGACAGTTTTTTCGTTCGGCGGACACACTCGATGCATTATTATTGGAATTGGATAAGATCGACTTTTTGTTTTATTTCCGAGGTGACTGTACCCGATTCCCGATTGCGTGTGCTTTTCCTCCCCTTTTTTGGTGATTACACCCGAAAAAGGCGATTCTTGAATTTTATTAAAATTGACTTGCAATAAGTGAATTCACGCGAAACATTCAAGTAAATTTGAGTGATGCAAGGAACGTTTTTTTTCTGTGTACTTCCCTTCCCCGCTGAGGCCCTGACGTCGGGGTGAAAGGGCGACGCCAGACGCCGTTCTCCTCACAACGTCATTCCCACCGTGGAGTGACTGACGTCTGTCCGGGTGACGCGGGTTCGAATACCGCCGCCGCCGTCTCCGATTTTTCCCCCGTCACTTTTTCCATGCGTTGCCAGCCGCAGGCGGCGGAAAGTCCCTTCGCCGTGGGGTGTCCAGCCTGTCGGGCCCCAGCCGCTCTGTCTCTCTCGCACCCCTACGGCCCACAGTGGGCCAGCAGACCGGCAGAGGCGGCCGAAACTCTAGACGCGTTTTCAGTTCCCGAGTCGCTAAATGGGACTCGAAACCATCGTGTGACCCCATTAATAGATTCCTCGTTTGGAGAGCAATCGATTGGTGGGGTCACACGTTCGGTTCGAGTCCCGCTTAGCGACTCTGGAGATCAAAACGCGTCTAGAGTTTTGGCCGCCTCCACTGGTCTTCTGGCCCACTGTGCGGGCCTACGGGACGACCCGCGGGTGCGAGAGAGACAACCTGCGGTCCTGCGGCGCGGCCTCCGCGTGCTCCTGCTTGCTTTCCAGATAAGCGCTATAAGACTCGCTGCGCTTTTGCTTTTGTTTACGCGATGCAGCCAAATTTTCCACGGCGGCGGTGATGGGGCGATGGCGGGGCCGCGCACGTGCTGCCCGGGAACGGTCGGGCCGGCAGCGCGGCAGCGTCCAAGCAGCGTCCGGGTTAGGGCCGCGCCGGCCGTGTGGACACACCGACTATCGCACGCATGGGTCGCGACGGTCGCGAGGTGGATGGCTGGACCAACACACACAAACATACAGAAAAACACACTCACAATGCACACGCGCACACACACGCGCACACACACGCGCACACACACACAGCTGAGAGTGGAGAGACAGAGAGTCGCCAGAGAATGGGAGCAACCAGGCGATCAGGGCGTGTTGGAGAGAGAGAGAGAGCCAGTGTGTGTGTGTGTGTGTGTGGGGGGGGGGGGGTCTGCGAGTCTGTGTGCGTGCGTCATCCAACTGGGCCGACGTTCGAATCCAGAGTGCAGTGCATGGCTGCGCGGTCCAGTGCGCGGATCATCCCCTTCCAAAGCCTTCCTCTCGTCGTGATTTCGTTTTCTCCCTCCCACTCGAGTGGCTAATCAAAGTGTCGGCCGGCTGGACCCAACGGCCGATACTAAAAGGGAAGAAAAGGCCTCAATGTTGCCGTTCACTCGACCGTGGCCGAGCGCACTCGTGCACCGGTCGGTGACTAGCAGGACCGGGGTTCAACTCCCATTTTTGTTCTTTTTTTCAGGGGAGTTAGGCTTGTGTGAGTGTCTATCCGCCTGTGCCCCGCGTTGCACGCCGTTGTTCGGGCCCTTCGGGGTGCGTATGCGTGCCCAGCCGAGCAATTTAGAAGATCGGTTTGTCGCTCCGTCTCTCTCGCACCCTTCCGGAGAGCCCCATGAGTGCGAGAGAGACAGACGCGGTCGCGATGAGTCCTTCGGGGCGGCTGGGCGCGTCGCTCACACCTGGACCACAGGACACCGCTGCAGCGTGATTCCGAGGGTCGTCGCTCTGTCTCTCTCGCTCCTGTGCCGGACGCCCAATGAGTGCGAGAGAGACAGAGCGACGGACAACGACTCTCAGTCTGCTGCACCGACCGATTATTAACGACCGCGGCATTTCGTATTCCACCGTGTCTAATAATTGTGCGGCCGCCACTCTGAGAGAGAGAGAGAGAGAGAGAGAGAGAGAGAGAGAGAGAGAGAGAGAGAGAGACGTGCCTGCAGGTGGTCGTTGCAGTGTAATGGAGTGTCGCCACGCTGCAGGCCCATGTGGCTGCGGGGAATTCCAAAACGAGCAAGCAAGGCGCATCGAAGTTGTTTGCCTATCTCCCACCACCACGCGGTCTGCTGTGGGATAGAGAGAGGGAGGGGAGAAGGGCTGAGAGGCGGGATGAGAGAGGTTGGTCGTGAGCGTCGTTTTGAGGTCGTTAGTTTATCTGTAATGCCCCAATCTGCACCTCCCGATCCCAAAACAATACCGCGTTTTGTCAGATGGCTTGACTTGGCGATATACATGCAGTTCCGATGAAAAGTGTCTGTCTGTCTGCCTGCCTGTCTGTCTGTCTGTCTGTCTGTCCTTCTGTCCTTCTGTCTGTCTAATTGCTCTCGCGGTGCAATCTTATCCATTTTTCAGACGGCCAAACCTCTTTTGTGCAAGTTGGGTCCTCATCCCTCGCTGTCGGCCCTGGGCGAGGCCCTGGGCGAGGCCCTGGGCCCTGTCGGCTTGTCTCCGTTAAGGGTCAAAAGATGGATCCTTCACTGTTAGAAATCCAGCCGTTTTAGAACGGAAAATTCGTGCAAAGTTTAAAAACGACTACTGATGTTCTCAAACGGCAAATCTCTGTTTTAAAACAAAAAATAATAATTCTAGAAAAAAATTTTTTACCATTTGGTAATGAAAAATGCGTTTTCAAAACAAAAATCTTTTTGGAAACAAAAATTTACGTTTTTCACAAACAAAAAAAACATCATTCGCACAACGCCCCCTTTTTTGTTATTTCCATTTAAAGGAGGCATTTTTTTAAAAATTTGCGTTACTTTTTTTCCCTTTGGGAAAAAGATGCAAGTCATTCTACCTTTGCTCGTCATTTTTTACCGAACTGGTTTCAGTTTCTGACGGCATTGCAATTCGAAATGGTCATCCGACATGTTGTGTTTTCATATGACACTCTCGGTTAGACCAAATATTCCTCGTTTCCCGGCAACAAGCAAAAGTATTTTGGCTGCTTACGGCTGAACCGCTCTGTTTGAGAACGGAGGATTTTTAACAGTGTTTCCCCGAGGCTCATTGGACTTTCCCCCTTTTTTCTCGCTTTTCCGTTCCCACTTTACACCGCCTTGCGTTCGCTGCGCGCGCCGCGTCTCGCAGACGACGACCTCAAAGTAATGACTGTTTGAAGGCTGTGAGGGCGCAGCCCTGCCGTTGCGTGGCACGGCGTGGTGGCGTGGCGTGGCATGGCGTGGCGTGCCGTGCCGTGGCATGGCATGGCGTGGCGTGGCGTGCCCGGTCCGGAGGGACGACAGGACGGGGGTTGCTTTTGTCCGCGGTGACGTCAACGACGGGATCCACTTGCCGTCCCGGTGGACTGCGTCCGAAACACGACACGGAAAACACGAAAAAAGCGCGGCTGCGTCCGGGAGGCGCGCGGCCGCGGGGAAGATCAAGACGTGAACACGGAGGGCGGCGCGCTCAAAGCGGACCGCTGCCAGTGTCCCTCCGAAGAGTCGTTTCGTCGCTCTGTCTCCCTCGCACTCACACGGAGTGCGACAGAGGCAGCGCGAGGGAAGCGATGTTCAGAATCGCTCTGCACGGCGACTGGGTGACCAAGGCCCAGGCCGGCGAACGGGTGCCGGAGCGACACCCGAGAGGCGGGGCGGCGCCGGGTGGAACTCCCTGGTGGAACCACCCCGTCCCGCCGCGCCCCACCCCCCCCACCCCACCCCGACCCCCCGCCCCGCCCCCCCCCCCGCCCCGCTCCGCCCCGCCCCGCCCCGCCCCGCCCCGCCCCGCCCCGCCCCACTCACGTCATCAACGTGCTGGCTCTGCTTTTTTTGTTGTCACGAATCCGCGTTTGAATTCCGCCGCAGTAGTGTTTGCTCGGTTGCGGTACCCCCTCCCCCCCCCTCCCTCTCCATCCCCTCCTCTCCCCCCTCCCTCCCCCCTCCCCTCCCCTCCCCTCCTCCTCCCCATCCCCGGAGGCTATTGGTGGTGCACCCCCTGGGCTCCACGCGGCGCCGCGCGGTGCCCGCCCCGCAGAGATATACAGGGCGGACCGGAGTTTGAGTCCAGGAAAGGGATGAAAAACGATATTTCGCTGGC